TGCACACGAGAGACGCCAAAGGGATAACTTCCTGTTTAGCGCTTTGCTGACTTGAATGGAGATAAAATTATTTAATCGTGTGGCTCTTGTAGACTTTTGAAATGTTATCAGACTGAATGAATCAAATCCTCATCGTGGAACAAGTCATTTCACGGGGGTTGTGAGGCTCAAAAAAATGTATCCACTGATTTGCAGATGTCTTCTTCCCAATTTAAGTCAATACTAAAAAGTCTTTTTGGGCCGCAGAGCATCACGCGATGGACTCTGGGAAATGCAGTACCACTGTTTGGCCACTGAAAATTAGCTTTGAAGCCGGGGGCACTTCCTGGGGGCCTGGTTACATTCGTGGTACCTGAGAAAATATTTTAGGAAATCAGTAAATTATGTATGACCCCAGGAAATCATTATGATCGCTCTCTTTTCTGGGATCCCCCAGGGGTTTACTCTGGGTCTCCTTCTATTTACCATATACATGCAACCTGTAGCATATCCAACCGAAATATGGTCTGACACTTGACACTGACACTGATGTTTTTGAAATTTATTGCACATTCCAGACCAACGTAAGAGCTGAGTGCAAAGACACAAAACAATAAATATGTTAGCTAACTCGTTAACATTACTATAGTCATAATCATTGCACATCAGGCTAGCTATAAGGTAAACATACAAAGTTATTACACTTCAAAATGAATTCAGGGCACGAACTACTCAACGTTAAGTTTTACAACATACACCAACCTTGTGCCTCTACAGGGGGAGGGTTATATATTAAATGCCTCACTATACACTGTAATTTCTTTCTTTTTTCTCTCCTTTTATCATGTTTTGCTTTACTGTTTTTAAGTCGAAGAACTTCTTGTCTATACATAAGAGTTGCCTTCAAAATAAAAGTCTCCATATTCAAAACAGGAAATGAGGCACATTAAGCTTAAAGGGAAATTTTGGTTTATTTCAACCTGTCTCCTATCATCCTAAATTTGTTTCAAGTGACTAGTGACATAAAAATAATAGTTAGCATGTTAGCCGTTAGCCTAGATACAGCCGGGGCGCATAGTAGCGTCAGACCTGTTAAAACGTAAGTGAACGGGCAACCTTCAAGTGCAAAGTTAGTCCACTAAACAAGCTTTTTTTCCACAAAGACCTCCTCATATCGTTAGGATAAATGTCAGAGAACATATAGAAAACGACATGTAAACGTGTTGTCTTACCTTACCTGTGTGCTGTCATGTTTGTTTACCATCTAGCTCTGCTTTCCAAAGCGCGGCCTAAATATATCTCGCAAGCTCTAGATAAAGCCCAGCTGGATACTACTCCAGGTGGAGGTGTCTCGTCCTCGGTCACATCCAGACCTTGAAAATTAGGTTGCAACCGGTCCCATTCCTTGCAACAGAGGCATTCCTCTTCTGTGGGCACTGGGGCACAGCATTCACAGGTACACCACCAATCTCCAGAGCTACGCAGCCTTGCAGCAGCCATTCCTCCTCTCTCGTCCTCTACCTGTTGCGCCTCTCTCTCTCTCTCCTCCTCCGTTCTTCAATTTCACGAAACTCTTCGTCAGTGTATTCTGGCTCAAATAAATAAGGGCGGCCATCAAACACTGCAAAATCAAATTCCTCCTCCACAAAGTCGAAGTCTGGCAAAAAGTCAGCCATTATTAAAATAAATGAATGAACTTTTCAGGCTACTGTCCGGTTCTGCCTTCCAGCTGTTGTTGCTTGTTCTTGTGATATTTCGGCCGCGCTTTGGAAAGCAGAGCTAGATGGTAAACAAACATGGCAGCACACCGGTAAGGTAAGACAACACTTTTACATGTCGTTTTCTATATGTTCTCTGACATTTATCCTAACGATATGAGTCAGTCTTTGTGGAGAAAAAGCTTGTTTAGTGGACTAACTTTGCACTTGAAGGTTGCCCGTTCACTTACGTTTTAACAGGTCTGATGCTACTATGCGCCCTGGCTGTATCTAGGCTAACGGCTAACATGCTAACTATTATTTCTATGTCACTAGTCACTTGAAACAAATTTAGGACGATAGGAGACAGGTTGAAATAAACCGAAATTTCCCTTTAAGGAAGGTAAAAATATGCAACAAAAGCAATAACTGTCCAATAATGTCTCCATTCTAAGGTCAAACACAATCTGTGTTATTTACACTACCCCATGGGCATATCATGTGTAGCCATAATATTGACTTTCATTGCTATGCAGAGGACACAACACCCTTTAAAGCCTGGCAGCAGCGATGTTTCTGGTTTCAACCCAGTTGCCAGAAAAATGTTGGCATTGTACATTATTGCAAACCACGGATATGTTACATTTGAATGTTTTTATGTCGAGGACTTGAAACCTAGATTTTTTTAATATGTGGTGAGGTTTAAGAACAAAAACCACTTAGTTATGGTTACAAAAAGACCATGTTTTGGCTTGCAATTTTGGGAGGAAAAGCAGCGATGTCTGTCTGTGTAAACATCAACCACTTTCAGGGCACTATCAGTATAAAACAACCAAGTTTTGAGAGCAATAAACCCATGAAAACATGTTGATGTGTTGCTACAAAGCACACACACCATGGAGCCTAAAAGCCACTGGAAACACAGCAATGACTCGCAAAAAAACAGTCGGTTTTGTTGTTTGTTGGTCTCAAACAGTGGTCTGCAGCTTAGCAGCCGATTTGTGAAGATGTCTCACCATCCACAGTCCCCTCCACTTCAAGATGACAGAGTCAGCTCATTCTACGTCACTTCAGAAACATTGATATGATTTGTATGTAACAAGCACATATAACACATTTCGACTTTGATTGCTATGCAGATGATAAGACACTATATGTCCCTATAAAGCCTGGCACCAGCAGTGTTTCTTGTTTTATGTCCTGTCACAACAAAATTAGGAAATGGCTCAAGAAATTTCCTGCAGTTGACTCTAAGTCAGAAATAGTTAAAACCATCCCCTCTGACACCAGCAGCTGTCTGTTCGTCACTCACTCCACAGCAGGAAACAGCACTTCAGAGTAAAAGCTCTGTGCCAGAAATTCACTGTACTTAAAAATAAAGTGTTTTTTACAAACTTGACACGTTTCAGAGTCACTTGTGGTCCATTCAGAATTGACCCACGACCCACTTTTAGACCACGGCCCACCAGTTGGGAACCACTGATATAGACCATTTAATAATGTTAATAGGCTAATTTACACTTAATAGGCTGCGTTACCTTGATTATAAGGCTCTACTTTGTGGCTCCAGAGAGATTTTTTGTTTTTAGTAAATGTTGCCGACCCCTGTATCAGGCTGTAATGCTGCTGTGGCGATGTTTAATTAAACACTGGTCTCAGACCAGGCAAACATTTTATCATGTCCCGCAGAAAGTAGACATGAGAGCCTTAAAATACCTTTGAAGATGCAACCCGCTGCTGAAAATACACAGATTGAACTTTTCCACGAAGGTTTGAGACTCCTGTGTTACGTCGAGTGCTGAGGTCACACATGGGATAACCCTAACCCCACAGTCCTGCTCAGATGCATCTGAGTAGCAGATCTGATCGAGGCCTGAAGCTTTGTTTCAGCTCATCAGACAGTTTAACCTTCAAAAATTAAAAACAACAAACTTCTCCTGATGTGAAGAGGGAAATGTGTGTGAGTGTGTGTGCATCACAAATTGAGAGCGTTTGCTCTGCTTATTGCTGGGATGCTTTGTGGGCGGCGTGGAGGGGAGCGTAATTAAAATAGTTTCTGAGAGAAACAGCATACCACATCTAAGGTTCCACCCTCTTCCAGCATTTAACCACATCAAGAGCGTCTCACTTAGAAATGGCCACCAGAACAACCGCTGATACACACGGTCCGGCTGATGTTTTGGTGTGTTGTCTGACTTGCGAGGGGGTCTCGGAGGCACAATGTGCACACATTTGTAATTAAAAGAGAGCTGCCTTTTTCTGATCATCGGGGTAAATAAAGTGACAGAGGCAGCCGGTTGGGTGATGTATGGGAGGGGAAGACAAATTAACCGTTGACTCTCTGGGGGATTCTCAGCAGAGGCCTTCATAGCAGCAGTGGAGCAGCGCCAAAGGGCAGAGAGATTTGTAGATGATGGTGCTAATTACCAGAATGCAAACCATAATGCGACCAAGATGGAAGCAATTTAGGCAGTAGTCATTTAGCCTGCTGCTCTTCCGCCCACCGGCTGCTGCCTAGCCAGAGCCGGGGCATTAGGATGGGAAAAGTCTGGGGCAATCCATTGCTCGGGTGGAGGATAAAGAATTAACGCACAGCAGAGAGGTTCAGTGGTGTTGGCAGCACATGGAGGGAGACCTGTGACAGAACATTCATTCGTCTTTTTGTTCTTAATTTAACTTCAACACAAATGACCCTCGGCATTAGCAGGCAATGCTTACAGGTCAGGAGGAGGAAGGAGCATCTAAATACTTGAGAACAAAGAACTCTGAACTACTTAAAGAGGTTGGGGTTGACCAACCTGCAGTGGCAGCTTGTCACCAGCTCTGGGAGAAGTCTGCGGATCACGTGCAGGAGTGTGCTGCCAGCAAAGAGCTGTGACTCACGGCAAATTACAAACTACAAAAATATTGACATCAGTTTGGTCTGATCGGGTCACTGTTACTCGGCAAGCACCTGTTGAACTGGGAGGAACGGGGCTATTCCTTAGGTAGATGTGGACCACCCAAAAGTCAAAGTTCTCAACATTTTTACTTCTTAAAATTGGAAGATAAAGGGCAAATTTAATCCTCAGGGAAATGTTTGAATTCAACAGAGAAATGACCGGTTGAAAAAGCTTTTCAAAAGGTTTTAAATGTAGTTTATAGATTTATCAGGACATCCAGCAACAGTCCTCACCTGTTGCATGGCCTGCCGCAGGCTCAGTCCGCCTGTATAATTTGGGATGTCTAATTGCTCTTTCAGGATATTTCAGAAGAGGAGTTCAGAGCACAGAGCTGTTCCGCACTCAGCCACTGTGTAATTTTATCCACGCCGCAGTCTCTCACTTCACACAGGGCTGATACCTTTTGCCTCCCCCTTTCCTTTGTATCAATTGGTCGGAGTTCAGCCTATTGTCGCCACAAGCTTCTTTTATATCTGCGCTCAGTCTGAGCACAGGCTCTCAGTCTGATCCGCAGGAGGGATTTCCAGCAGCAGTCAGAGGCGAGGAGCGGATCCTACCTCCGGGGGCGGCTGTGCTGTCAGCGGTGTCTCGGATGTGCGCGAGGCTGGAGCTCTCGAGCGTTGGGGCCCCGACACTTTAATGGGACCCCGAGAGCCGGGCGGGAGTTCTCCTTTTTTTCGCCACAATCGTCGCTCCACGGCCATGCCACAATGCTGATGATACCTCTGCTGGTGTTGCTTAGCCTGTTGGATCCCGTTAGTCCCCGGGCTCGCTGCGCCCCGGGACAGGCTTGCGACCCCCGGCAGCGGAGGGATGCCGGGGGCCGCGGAGGAGTTTACGAGCACCTCGGAGGAGCGCCGAGACGCAGGAAACTCTACTGCGCTACTAAATATCATTTACAAATCCATCCTAATGGGAAAATAGACGGATCACTGGAGGAAAACAACCCGTTTAGTGAGTATCCGCTCGCTTTTACGCACAGAACTTTTGGCAAACCATTCCTGTAATAACTCACATGGCACAATGTGTTTCATTTTTATCAGCATCTTAGTGAACATTTTTAAAGTTGCATCAAGTTGTTTAATAAAAGTTGTTTTTTTTCTAACGCAGATTTGTTGAATGAAATAAAACAGTAAATTAAATAAGCGCTTTTAATTTATGAAAATACGCAACATTCAGTTTATTTGTCATTCATTTATTTGTTTGTTTGTCTCGATCATTTTAGTAAATTCTGATATGATGAATATATCAGAGTTTCACTGTCACTTACTCAATGAAGCGTGCGTGCATGTGCATGCGCGCGCGGCGTGTGTGCGTGTCATTGCAAAGCTGCCGACATGCAGGTTAATCTCTATTATAAGTATCAGTCAAAGTATTAACATCCAGGCGGGACAAAGGCGCTGTCCTAACGGATGTATTTATCTAATCAGAGGCCATTAGAGCCTTTCTGCAGCTCTCAATGGGCCATTGACTAATCAAGCACTGATTAAAACAGCCAATAAACAAACTGAATGGGGCAAACACAACCGGAAATTAATTCCTTTATTGTCAAAGTGACAAAGGTTTGTTTGTTTGTTTGTTTTAGGGTAAATTTGCTTTTCATGCTTTTTAATTGATTTCCATTTTCCAAGGTTTAAAGGAGGAGTGATCGTGAATTAAATGATCTTTTAAAGAGTTGTGGATCCTGATGAAAGACGTGAAGCTTATGGATGTTATGTAACTGGTTCTGTGTTGCAGGCATCATGGAAATCACAGCGGTGGATGTGGGTGTCGTGGCCATAAAAGGGCTTTTCTCTGGCAGATATCTGGCCATGAACGATAAAGGCCGGCTGTACGCCTCGGTGAGTACAGATGTCATCTCATCATCACATGTGTTTCCTTCTCTCAACACATGCAGCTCCTGTTTGACAGCGAGGCAGCAGATATTTGAATGTTTTTAAGTCGTTCCAACCTACAAGTCTTATAATCTGACAAACTCATTTAGTTTAGTACGACCAACATGTTTCGCTTTGACCTCGAAAAGCTTAAGTTGAACCAACTTAATATTTATCCAAACAGTGTGCTGATATTAAGTGGTCCAATTATTTTATGTAAGATATCCCAACTTGTTTATTTTAATTCCATTCTACTTAAAAAATGTTTTTGATTCTGAATAATTCTTAAAATAAGCTGACAATTGACTAAAACAGGTTAATTGAACAAACGTAATTTTTTATGCTGAAAAACTTTATTTTAATTATTACCCACTCACCCCATGAATAATTTTTTAGAGTGCATGTTTATCTGACATACACTGTAAAAAATAATCCACTGGTTCAATGTAAAGAAAATCAATATAACAATTTTGATGCATCTTTTTAAGTAGTTTCAACTTGTTTGAGTAGATCCTATGAGTCTTTTATAATCTGACAAACTCATTTAGTTTAGTACAACCAACATGTTTTGCTTTGACCTCGAAAAATTTAGTTAAGTTTAACCAACTTAATATTCATCCAGATGTTGCTTTGATAGGTTGAGTTGTGTTGAGTGGTCAAACTATTTTATTTACGATCTTCTAACTTGTTTATTTTAATTCCATCCTACTCAATAGTGTGAAAAATGTTTTTAACTTTGATCAACTTTTTAAAATCAGTTGTCTAAAACACACTAATGATACAAAGTTAATTTATGCTGAAGAATGTCTTTATTTTAAGCTTTATCCACTGACTGTGAATCATTTTTTAGACTGTATCGTGCATTATTTTATGTCTGATTCAGAGTGTGATCGCATACGGTGTTGTGAGCAGAACAGAAACACTCCCAGTGTCTCTGAGAGTTCATCCTGTGAATCAAAAACATACGGCAAGCTGCACGACAAATGTGCCTCACTACTTTCTTCTTTCTCACCTCCCCAGGAAGTGTTCAACAAAGAGTGTGAGTTTGTGGAGCGGATCCATGAGTTGGGGTACAACACCTACGCGTCCCGCCACCACTCCACCGAGCAGCCGCTGCCACCAGGGGGAGGCAGCAGCAGCAAGCGGCGGGCCAGCGCCAAGCGCCAGTGGTACGTTTCCATTAATGGCAAAGGCCGGCCACGACGAGGCTTTAAGACTCGCAGCACTGACAAAGCCTCGCTTTTCCTGCCTCGGGTGCTGGGCAACAAGGACCATGAGATGGTGAGGCGTCTGAGAGACAGTCAGAGCATGCACCACCATACGCATCACCACGGGGGGCGAGGGGATCGTCGCAGACGCCGGCATCGCACCAGGAAAGGCCGGCGCCAACGGCAAGATGACTGAGCAGACTTTTTGAGGGAGGAGCTGACCCCGTGGCCCAACCAAACATGGACCCCTGATCTCGGCACATACTGTAGCTCGATGGCAGTCGAGGATACGAAAAATGAATCTGGATCCTGCGCTCTGGATTAGCGGACGTTTTTGTCGTTGATGCTCAGAGAGTAAAAATCCATAGAAGAAGTAAAGACAGAGGGCCACCCCACGTGTCGGGGCGCATTTATCAAATCTTCCACTTTCAGGCGACTTTGTCTCTCATACACACTCACACACACACACATAAGCTTCTATTTACTGATGTTCTTCAAAATGCTACTGTCGTGTAAACAAATGTATTAATATAGTTGAAAACTTCCATCTTAATTTGTAAAAAGTTTTGTACAAGAAATCATCTTCAACTTCACACACCTTCTGAAAGCAGATCTATTGTTGTAAATACAGTATGCACTATGCATGTACAGCGACTTCTCATTTGTCAAAAGCTGAAATGACAAACAGTATATCATACAATATTTTGCTAATTTGAAGTGCTAACAAATACGACGGATAGTGAAGAGAGGACTTTTAATCAGCAAAGCACTTTTTGTCAGATTCACATGAAGAGGGAAACTCAGTGTGAGACGGGCTCCGCTCTGTTTTTTTGTTACAATGTGATAGTCTACTGTCTGTAAGCTGAAAGATGTTCTTTGTATATTTTTACTAATGATATGAATATTTATTTGGTGCCTGTGTTATAAGTTATTGATAATACTATTTCTGCATTTTACCAATGTTGCTGTTTGTCTCATAGTTCTCACTCACCAGCTGGTTCCAACATAAAAACACAATGGTACTGACCCCTGAGGAAACAACCGGCTCGTTTGTTCCAACTTTTCTTTGGTTTGTTCAAAGATTTCACAGCCTGAGTTTGTCTTCGCAGGCCTTAAATTGTAACAAATGCAGCTTTGAAATCAGCAAGAAAGATTGTGCTCTAAAGGTGACACAGATTATAAATTCAAAAATCTGTCTTTGTTTTTTAAAGTTCAGTTGATTTCTCTTCAAGATGAAGTCTCAATTTCAGTTTTTGTTTCTCCTGTTCTTGTCGGTCGCGGCTCTTTGAAGGTAGCACCGCCTCAAATACACAATAGTGCATTTTTCTTTTTAACAAAAAGTGCAAAACAGCAGGACTTCAACTCAGAGCCACTGCTACCTCTCTTTAATCACATACAGTTGGGTTTTTTCAGCCCTTTAAATGTTAAGATTTACATTGAATTTAACTGTGAAATAACAGCTATGATACTGTCAATAATGGTCAACCTGATAGTTCTTATAGTTTCTTGGTAGCTTTGACTATTAAAACACACATACAGTGTAATAATGACTGGTGGGGACCGGAGCAGATGATCCCTGCTGTGCCATATTTCTCCCATGCAGAGCTGCTGCAGCGCGGTGTGGCTGTTACACTAGGTTATAGGTTTATTACAGCTTGAAGGGGGCTGGTTGTGCGTTCAGAGTGGTACCCCCCTCTCCGTCTCTACATTTGACATTATCCCTCTCTCCTGCTGCAGCTCATTTGTTAAAGCGCTGCACCTGTTGCTGTAACACAGCCGAGCAGAAACTACAAAGACAGCCGTCGACGCGAAAATCATCACAAGCAGCATTCGGACTCTTTTGGACGTTCAGGTTTTGCCTTGCCTCGCTCCCATCTATAGGTAGCTGCATATAAAGCCTTGTCATTCTATACCTGCGGGCTGGGGAGGCTTCCTGGCCCGGACAATAGCTTCTCCCAAGGGGGGCCTGGGAAGCGATGCCGCCTGAGACTTTTGGGCTTTTTTTTGAAACACCGACCAAAAGCCAGAGAGTCGATAAACAAGGCAGGCCCTCCTGAAAGCAGAAACTGTGTCATACAGAGTATAACACCTTGCTATGGCTTGTTATGAATGCAGAACTCTAAGATTACTCAACAGGAATGCGGGACTTCAGAGAGGTTAGGGCCCTTTGTGGCCCCTCTGTCTGTTTCACTGAGCAACATTTATCTTCTGAATCTCTTCCTACGTGCCCTTTCTATCCACGACATCCGCTGAAGGATTGTCCTACAAAGATTTATCAGCCACGCAATAAAAACATCATATGCAGTAGTTTTGGCCTAATGGCGTGCGAGACGTAGGGATTCCTTTAAAACTTTTTTTTTCTCCAAAACTCTTTTTATTTATGATTTCTCTGTTTTAAACTTTAGTTTCTCAAATTGTTTCAATATATTTTTTAACACACTTACAAAGAAAAACAGAAAGAAAGCACTTTGTCATGAATTTCATGTTAGCTAAATCCTTCTAAGCCCATCATTCAGAGAGGGAAACACAGCTTCAGTCAGCTGGGAATTAATGGTACACATTTTTGTCCTTCTAGGCGTTCCCTAGGAAAGTAAAACCTCTAAAACAGGAGCACTCAACTTGCTTTACCCGGGGCCACTTTTACAAAATGACAGGAGGCCAGGGGCTAGTTCAACAAACATCCATAATTAATATTTAAATAATTACCTCTGTCAGGGGGCTCCAGCTCTTTTTAATGCTTTACACTCAGAATACAAAATAAAAAATCTCAGTGTGAATCAATTTATATTCATGGTGAATCATAAATGGTTTCAGGGCGACCCAGCACCCAATCAACAGCCAGATTTGGACCACAGGCCTTAACTTGAGTATGACTCTAACAGCTCTCTCTAAGCCTCTTTAGTAAGGCAGCCTTTTGAAGATGCACAAGTCATAACTAATGGCCTTATAAAGAATAAAAAGATCATTTACTAATGGATTTTGATCAGTTACACACACATTTTGGGTTGCCAGTTTGTGACAGATCCTTTTAACTGACTGGACTGTGACCACTGTCGGACACTTCTGGACACAGAGGATCAAAAAACAACTTCATTAATGGAACACCAACTTACATACCAATTTATAAATGCAGAGAGAAAATTCATAACCTTTTGAACCTATAAAGGTGTTTTTATTGAAGGTAAAAAGCACAACCATTAATGAAGTTGTCCCTTTAAAACCCTTTAAAAAGAGTGATTTATTGGAGGTCAAGTCGGGTTTGTTTTTAGAGCACATTTAAAAACAACAGATGTTGTGCTTTACAAATAATAAGTAAAACAGGAATAACCAAATAAAAAGTCATAAATGACACAAAAACAACACTGCACAAAAAAATTAAATATAATACAAGCAAATAAACAGTGTGGTCATGGTCAGGCATGTCATCATAATGATAATTAAAAGGCTGAGGAACAGAGATGGGTCTGAAGACAGGTTTAAACATATGAGTGGAGTGAGAGGCTACTATTCCACAATTTAGGGCCAACAGCTAAAAATTCTAGTAAAGTAAACACTCTCTCTCAGTCTCTAATAAGGCACCCGTCGCACATGTTTACAGGTTGTAACTAATAGTCTTATTAAAATAAAATACTTTAAAGCTTTATAGATCAGTTTTAAATATTCAATGAGACACATTTTAGGTTGCCAGGTTGCGACAAATCCTTTGGACTGACTGGACTGTGGCCACTGCTGGTCTCCTCTGGCTACAGAGGATCAAAATCTGTTTGTTTAAAACTAATCAGAGTCAGAATCAGAAAGATTTTATTGATCCCCGAGGGGCAACTGTGATTCATTACAGAATCGCTACATCATTCCATACATGACATACATGATGTAAAGAATAGAGAATTATAAAAAGTAAGAATAAGAGTGTGACATACAAGTGTGTAAATATAAAGTACGAAATTCCATGAAATAGAAATAGAAATGTGCGTCATGCTACAATGTCTAACACTAGTGCTTAAGATAGTTGGAGTAAAATATATATCTTCACTGTGCTGAGTCTGTACATGTGTAATACTATACAAATAGCTGCACTGTGTTACATTACACTTTATAAACTAGTGTTACATTCAGAAATATAAAGTATGTATTATGCCAGAATGCAGTGGTTTCCAACTGGTGCGGCCACAGGGTCCAAATATCTCCTCAGTCATTAGTTTGAGGTCCCACAGTTTAATATATTCAGCATCATACTTGCATCTGACCATGTTGTTGAGCAAGTTTACTGTCTCTGTTAAGTAGCTAACAGTCGGTCACTCACTCTACAGCAGGAAACAGCACTTCAAAATAAAAGCTCTGTCCTGGAAATTCACTGTCCTAAAAAATAGTGTGTGTTTTTTTTTTTTCAAACAGCACATTTCCGACTCACCTGTGGTCCAGGGGCTGGTGACCCATTTTGGACCGTGACCCACCAGTTGGGAACCACTGCTGGAATGGTCACTATGATATATACTGTACATCAATAGAATAAAGACAAGACAATGAATAAACATTAGAGGTATGTACAGTTATGTGCACTGTATGTTGAATAATTATATACATTCAAGAGTGGTTAAGAATATTGCGGCAGTTGAATTATTGCACGTTCAAAATAAAAGTAATAATTGAACAACAAGTCACGATTGCACAGTAGAAACTTAATGCAGTTAAGTGAATTAAGTCGCAGTGCTGGTCTTATTGACTCAGAGCAGCTCACACTCTGAAGGAGGAGCTGTACAGGTCGATGGCCGCAGGCAGGGATGACTTCCTGTGGCGCTCTGTGGTGCATCCTGGGGGAATGAGTCCATCACTGAATGTGCTCCTGTGTGTGACCAAAATCCAAAGGCGTCACCATACTTTGAACCTAAAAAGATTTTCTTATTAAAAGCTTATATCTACTTATAAATCATTAATGAAGTTGTAATTTGTGTACGAACCCTTTAAAATGAGCGTTTCATTAGAAAGTGAAACTTTACTCTGACTTTTCCTCACAGGTGCACACACATTGTTTGTTCTGCTTTCATCATCATCATGTTACATGTGTATAAAAACAGACTGATGGTTCCCAGAGAGATTCAAGTTTGCACTCGCACTGAATATATAAACGAAATAGACTTTTACTGATCCAGGTGTTTTTAATGAGCCAAAAATTAAATTAGATCCGTCATGTTGCAGGATCAGCGCTCCTTTTTTTTTGCATAGAAGTTTACCAGATGCAGGAAAACATGAACATGAACATAGGAACAAGACAAAACACAGGTGCATTAAATGTGCTTAGTGTAAAAAATAAATTAAAATAAAATAAAATAAAAAATAAATTTAAAAAAGAAACTAATTCTAGCCGCAGGATTCCCTTAACCCCTTCTATTCCCCTTGTAGAAATGAAATTTTCATCTGACTCTCAGGCAGCCGTGCAGTCTTCTTACAAACATGTGACAAAGACCTGTGGACAGCTCCTTTATTTACTTATTATATTAGTATTACACATAAACATGGTGCCTGAGCTCATGACTGCAGTCCAGCAGTGTTCACATGTAAACAGTGACCCCTAGAGGCTGACAGCTGTCTCTCCTCCTCACAGGCTCATGGCCTGGTGTCAATGTGCATCTATAATTTGACTGGTCTCAGTTTGTCAGAGCTGCTCAATGCCCTCTGCAGGCAGCACGCAGCCAGGGAACACAGCCAGTATACAGTCATGTCAGACTGTTGAGTTGTAACAAGACAGCAGAGCACATAAAGTGTTATTGTTCATAGTGATGTTTGAACACACATCATAAAATGAAAAGTTTTCAGGAGCTCAGTGGAAAGACTTTAAAGTTGCAGTTTTAGCTTTAATGATCTACCATGGCTCACAGAAAACAACCAATCAGAGCGATGAGTCTCTAAAGCTTATGTTTAATCAATCACAAACAAGGCAGCACTGATCAAATGTGAATCAAGATTCTGTCACTGCATAGCCTATTTCTCTCCTCAAATGTTTTCAGAAACATATTTTAGTGACTGTTAAGCTGTAAAGTTA